AGCAGAAACTCATTCGGATTGGCTACATTAGGGGTGTGTGGCCTAACATGCAAAGGAGTTCCTGCTACAAAAAGGCCCTGGGTTTAGACAACAAACAAGGTAAACAGAATAAGAAGTGAAAGGTGGGTGTGGCTGGATGACCACACTTCTGGTAACATGAGGGTGCGGCCTAATATGCCAATGAGCTGTGCTGTCAGGGGTGTGGCCTAATAGGCGAATGAGTTTCTGCTGTTGGGTGTGGCCTGTTATGCTAATGAGTTCCTGCTGGGCTTTTTCTACAAAAAGAGCCCTGCCTGCCTATATGTCATGACCCTGGACTTCCTTGGTTGGTCTCCCATCTGAACGCTATCCCGGCCGGCCCAGCTTAGTTTACGAGATCTGACGAGATCGGGCTAGCCTGGGTTGATCCAGAAACCATACGGAAAGCTTCTATGTGGTGAGGAACTGAAAGAGAAGTCACTAGCCATCTAGTCCCACCCCCAGCTCAATGCAGGATCAGCCTTGAGCATCCCTGACTAGTGTTTGTCCAGCCGCTGCTTAAAGACGGCCAGCGAGGGGGGGCTCCCCACCTCCCGAGGCTCCTGATTCCACTGTGGCTAAACCCTGACTGTCAAAACGTTTCTCCTAAGATCCAGCCATGGCCTTCCCACCCTGAGTTTCAACCCATTCTTGCGAGTCCCGTCCTCTGCTGCCAACAGGAACAGCTCCCTGCCCTCTTCTAAGGGACAGCCCTTTAAATATTTCAAGAGAAGACGAAGAAGAAGAGATTGGATTGATACCCCATGGCCCTTCGCTACCCAAGGGAGTCTCAGAGCACTTACAGTCTCCTTTCCCCTCCCCTCCCCACAACAGACACCCTGTGAGGTAGGTGGGGCTGAGAGAGCTCTTGACAGAAACTGCTCTTTTTCAAGGACAGCTCTTGTCAGAACTACGGCCTGCCCAAGGTCATCCAGCAGGTGCAAGTGGAGGAGTGGGGAATCAAACCCGGTTCTCCCAGATTAGAGTCCGCGCACTTAACCACTCCACCAAACTGGCTCTCACGTCCCCCCTCAGCCTCCTCTTCTCCAGACTGAACATTCCCAAGTCCTTCAGCCTTTCCTCATAGGGCTTCTTGGTCTCCATGCCCCCCAATATGTGTTCATATTTAGGAACGAGCAGCCCCTGCCGGAGACAGGTCACAGGGTTTTAACGAGGGGCCCGTGGCTCAGTGGTAAAGCACCTGTTTGGCACGCAGGAGGTCCCCGGTTCAATCCCCAGCACCTCCAGTTAAAAGGACCAGGCAGTAGATGATGAGAAAGATCTCTGTGCCTGAGACCCTGGAAAGCTGTAAAGAGGGGCTGTGGCTCAGTGGCAGAGCCTCTGCTTGGCATGCAGAAGGTCCCAGGTTCAATCCCCGGCATCTCCAGTTGAAAGAATGTGATGTGAAAGGCCCGTGCCTGAATCTCGGGAGAGCCGCTGCCAGTCTTAAGTAGACAGTACTGACTTTGATGGACATAGAGTCTGTTTGGTGAGGGGCTGTGGCTCAGTGGCAGAGCCTCTGCTTGGCATGCAGAAGGTCCCAGGTTCAATCCCCGGCATCTCCAGTTAAAAGGACCAGGCAGGAGGTGATGTGAAAGAGCCCTCTGTGCCTGAGACCCTGGAGTGCGGCTGCCAGTCTGAGTGGGTAGTTTTGACCTTGACGGACCCAGGGTCTGATTCAGTTATAGGCAGCATCATTGTTTCATCGCCCTGGTTTGGGTTTCGTTTTCCGATCGCCCTGGTTTGGGTTTCGTTTTCCACTCGATAGCCGAGTGGTCTCCTGTTCTGTCTCTGCTCTGTCCTTTCAGTGCATTACGCCCGCCCCATCATTATCTTGGGCCCCACCAAGGACCGAGTGAATGATGACCTCCTGTCTGAGTTCCCGGACAAGTTTGGCTCCTGTGTCCCACGTGAGTCTGATGGGGGGGGCGGGGTCCCTTCCTGGGAGAAATGTGGGAGGGAAGGGATTTGCTGCTCGGGAGGAGAATTCCGTAGGGAGGTCCTTTCTGTGACCAAAGGCTATGACGCTCCCCCTAGACACCACACGGCCCAAACGAGAATACGAGGTCGACGGCCGGGACTACCATTTTGTGGCCTCGCGGGAGAAGATGGAGAAGGACATCCAAAGCCACAAGTTTATCGAGGCGGGCCAGTACAACAGCCACCTGTACGGGACCAGCGTCCAGTCAGTGCGCGAGGTGGCTGAGCAGGTAACGGCGGAGAGACCGTTCTGGGAGGTGGCAGGAGGAACGCGGGTAGCTATCAGAAGAGCCCTGCTGGATCGGTCCACCCAGTCCAGCCTCCCGTCTCACACAGCGGCCAGCCAGTTCCTCTGGAGGCCCAACAAAAGGGCACAGAGACCAAGGCCTTCCCCAGATGTGGCCTCCTGGCTCTGGGATCCAGAGATTGGCTGCCTCTGAATGTGGAGGTTCAATAGGTAAAACTTACCCTAGCACAGCAGGAACATCAGAAGAGCCCCGCTGGATCTGACCTGCGAAGGTCCATCTAGTCCAGCATCCCGTCTCACACAGGGGGCAACCAGTCCCTCTGGACGGCCAAGCACAGGGGAGAGAGGCCGAGGCCCTCCCCTGTTGCTGCCTCCTGGCTCTGGGATCCAGAGATTGACTGCCTCTGAATGGGGAGGTTCCCCTCAGTCACCATGGCTAGCAGCCACTGGTAGACAGACCTTATCCTGCATGAATCTATCTCATCCCGCTTTAGAGATGTTTATTCCTGGCCACCCCAACATCCTCTGTCGCATTTTAATCTCTCGTTGTGTAAAGAAGTATTTATTTTTGTCCATCCTGTCCTGAACCTACTGCCCACCAGCTTCCTTGGGTGCCCCCGAATGTGAATATTTGGGGAGAGGGAGAAAAAGGTGATGGGTATTCTGCCGCAAGCAAAACCAGCGGGGTTGAGACTTTGGAATCCCCTGGGCTTAAAACCCCTAACTGACCCCTAGAATTGGGGATGACTCAGAGCCAAGCAGCGGGCAGCTGCCATTAGAGGAGGAGAGGGTTGTGGAACAGGTCCTGAGGGCGGACAGATACTCCCTGCCTCCAGCGTCTGGTTGGGATCTTGAGAGCTGAGCGCCGTGGCTGGAATGCCCCTGGTCTCAGGCCACACTGCCGCCCACGGGTCCGGGGAGGGATGCCCCATGCGCTCTGCCTCGCTCACAGCTGGGAGCCAGCAGGGTCTCCACCAAGGCTCCCTCTAAGCTGTGGAGTCTTGTGAACCAAAATCCTACTTTGTGAGCTGCCGGCATTAAAGTTGTAAGCGAGCGGTTTGGCTGCTGCATCAGTTAGTTTGCTCTGGAGCCCTCCTTCCTGAGCTAAGGCAAAAACTTGTGCGCCGGAGGCTAAAAACACTGTGAGCCGGCTCACACTCACTCAGCTTAGAGGGAACACTGGTCTCCACAGCGCTTCTGTACCCGCCTCGCAAGGGTGTTGTGGCTGGAGAACTGGCCTTTCCCACAGGGTTGCCTCTCCCCTCCTTGCGGCTGGGTTGGCTTTCCGGAGACTGTTGACTCACCGAGTGGTGCCGTAGCCTCCGTGTGTGTGTTCTTTCGGGGGGGGGGATTGAAAGTGTGAAAGGAGGGAACTGGGCACAAGAGGTGTTTGCTAGGAGGAGGAGGTTGGGGAGGGCACATCCCTGATGAATTTTATTTTTTATTATTATTATTATTTTATTGGATTTATATCCCGCCCTCCCCACGGGCGGGCTCAGGGCGGCTCGCAATTAACGAATGAATGAAGGCAAACAAGGAAGAGACGGGGGCTGCTGGGGGAAGGGCTCTCTGACTAAATGCCGCCCCCTCCCCGCAGGGCAAACACTGCATCTTGGACGTGTCGGCCAACGCCGTCCGGCGGCTTCAGGCAGCGCAGCTTCACCCCATTGCCATCTTCATCCGGCCCCGATCCCTTGAGAATGTTCTGTGAGTGGCTGGAATGTGGGGGGGGGGTAACTGTGGTTGGAACACGCACAGGCGAAACAGGGTGTCAATGGAAGGGAGGTGCACCAATGTAGCAACTTTGGGGGGGTGGCCTTGGGTGGCAGTGGTGTGGTCCCCCTAGTGAAATGGCGTGGCATGTGGCTGGAGGTGGGTATGTCCTTCTAGAGCTTGGGGGGGAAGGGAGAATCGTTTGGGGTCTACACAGACTGATGCTGGCCGATGTCTCTTGTCCACCCACCCACCCCCACCCCCAGAGAAATAAACAAGCGGATAACGGAGGAGCAGGCACGGAAGGCCTTTGACAGAGCTACAAAGCTGGAGCAGGAATTCACAGAGTGCTTCTCAGGTGAGTCTCCTCAGCCTTCTCTGGCGACCCCAGGGGTCATTTCCTACAGGAGCGGAGCTCCGGCAGTAAAGAGCCCAGGGGGCGGGCACATGCAACAAGCCCCACCCCCTGCTCCCAGCAGCCCTCAGTCAGAGCAAGAAGCAGCCAGGTACATTGCAGAGCCCCCCCCCCGGCCCCCCGGCCCAAAACAGTCCAGTGGCACCTTTAAGACCAGGTTTTATTCAGATACAAGCTCCCTCCTTTGCGAGGACAGATCTGCACGTCCGTACATCCCCCCAATAGCTAGCAATCCAAAACAGTCCAGTGGAGCCTGAGCGGTGGGTGTTGCCTTCTGACACACTTCCGGTGATGTCAGGGGGTGTGGCATATGCAAATAAGTTATGCTAATGAGTTATGCTAATGATCTCCTGCACCTCTTTTTCTTCGAAATGACCCCTGGGTGACCCAAGCCGTACGTGTGCTTGGCACCCCGAAACTTAAGCAGCGCTGGATGAGGCCTTCTCTCTCCTTCACTGTTTAGGTTCTGTGCCTCTGCATTCACACCAGGCTAGAGTGAAATTTGGTGCAGAATTCAGGTCTTCAAATTCATTACAGTTGTTACTCCCTAAAAGCAAAGTTTGTTGGTCTGAGAGCCAGTTGTGATTTGGTGGCTAGAGGGCCGGACTAAGATCTGGGAAACCCAGGATCAGATCCCCACTCTACCATGGAAGCTTGCCGGGTAATCTCGGGCCAGTCGCACCCTTGCAGCCTCACCTACCTACAGGCAGGGCTATTTTTGGGCAGGAACGCACAGGAACGGAGTTCCGGCTGGCTCCTGAGTTGGCCACGCCCAGCAGGAACTCATTAGCATAATAGGCCACACCCAACAGCAGGAACACATTAAGATTGGCTACATTAGGGGTGTGTGGCCTAACATGCAAAGGAGTTCCTGCTACAAAAAAAGCCCTGGGTTTTGACAACAAACAAGGTAAACAGAATAACAAGCAAAAGGTGGGTGTGGCTGGATAACCACACTTCTGGTAACATGGGGGTGCAGCCTAATATGCCAATGAGCTGTGCTGTCAGGGTGTGGCCTAATATGCTAATGAGTCTCTGCTGTTGGGTGTGGCCTATTATGCTAATGAGTTCCTGCTGTGCTTTTTGTACAAAAAGAGCCCTGCCTACAGGGTTGTTGTGAGGATAAAGTAGAGGAGAGGGAAACGATGTAAGCTGCTTTGGTGCTCCATTGGGGAGAAAATCTTGACCCTCGAAAGCTTTGACACTCGAAAGCTTATATCCTAAAAAAACCTTGACTCTCAAAAACTTTGATTCTTGAAAACTTATACCCTGAATATCTTGGCTCTTGAAAGCCTTGACTCGCAAAAGTTTTGACTCTTGGAAGCTTATACCCTGAAAATGTTGACTCTCAAAAGCTTACACTCCAAAAATTTGAAAGCCTTGACTCTTCGAAAGCTTTTACCCCCAAAATCTTGACCCTGAAAATGTTAGAACAAACTTAAGAGTCCAGCCGGGCACCTTTCAGACCAACAAGGTTTTATTCAAGGTGTGAGCTTTCACACTTTGTCGGACGATGAAATGGAATTACATGAATAAATAAATAAATAAAATAGTTGTGTATATATAAGGAGTGGTTTGTTAAATTAGGGTGCAAAACGAGGAGGACACTTTTTTTTTTTTAACAGATCGAAAGAACGACCAAGTTAGTCGAAACTCTTTTGATCCGTTAAAAAATGTCTCCTCGCTGTTTTGCTTGCTAATTTAACAAACTGCTACTATATATACAACTATGATATGTGATTCCATTTCATCGTCTGACAAAGTGTGCACGCACATGAAGGCTCACACCTCGAATTAGGGGTACCAAGTGCCTACCTTCGAATCGGCGGGGGACACATGGTTCCCGGCCAGAACATCCCTCGGTGTAACAGACCCCCGCCGCACCATGCCGTCGCCCAGACGTGACGCCAGCACACTGGGCACGTAGCTGGGCGACGCTCTGGCAATGGAGCTGGAAACTCGATGGTACCATCGAGTTTCCAGCTCCATTGCCAGAGCGTCGCCCAGCTACGTGCCCAGTGTGCTGGCGTCACGTCTGGGCGACGGCATGGTGCGGCGGGGG